ATCATTGATTTAGAAGGAGGGGTCGCTTTCTTTCTCATTTTTTCTCACTAAGATTACAAACTTGGTCAATTTATAAAAAGTTAAGATCACCCCTTCCCCCATTTCAATGATGGAAAAATGGTGTTTTGGTTTTAGCACACGTTCATTCTTCAACATTGATTTGATTCGGAAGGAGGGGTGGCCCTATTTCTCATTTTATTCCGACCAAGATTACAATCTTTGTCAATTTCAATGAAAAATTTTAAGATCACCCAGGCTATGGAAAAAATGGTGTGTTTTAGCTTTAGCGCAAGTTGATCATTGATTCAGGGGTAGGAGTGGTGTTATTTCTCATTTTATTCTGACCAAGATTGCCGCATAAACACTTAAATTGCCACTGATAATTGTACACCTACCTAGTGATCCAGTACCCAAAACAACAGCGATGGTAACAAAATCTTAAACATGAGAAAAATTAGCCAGTCAGAAAAATCAATAGACCTGCATAGCATTCAAACCATGAACTTTGAATTGTTACAAGCTTTTACAAGTTGCTTCATAATCATACAAGAATGCACAATCAGTATTTGTTTCCACAATGTCATGTTATAAAATAAATGAACAAATAGGCTCAAACAACCCACATTTCATGTATGCTAACCAATTGCAAGCTAAAGTAAATCTTCAACCACTCTTATTCTATGTCATTTTTAACTCTCAATTAGTACCCCCACGAGTGTCTACAAATACACAACATGGTAAGATTTCCTCCGAGCTAAGCTTGTATGCGTTTTATCCCCTGACTCCTTTATGTGTGGGAGGTGCGGTGGCCTTATAGTTAGTGCACTTGATTCCAGAGCAAGCGGTCCGCATTTGAGCCCTGGCCAGGGACATTGTGTTGTGTTCTTGGGCAAGACACTTTTCTCTCACACTCAGTGCCTATCCTCCCAGGTGTACAAATGGGTACAGGTGAATTTAATGCTGGGGGGTAACCCTGTGATGGACTAGAATCCCATCCAAGGGGGAGTAGAAATACTCCTAGTTTCTTCATGCCACTGAAACAGGGATAAGCTCCGGCCTGATGAGCCACTTGGCTCGTATGCAAACTTTACCTTTTACCTACTCCATTATGTTTGTATTTTTAGCTTATAAAGATATGTTATTTATTGTAGTAGGTCCACATCAGCCCTTTGGCTACCTTAATTCAAACCTAATTCATCAAATAAAGTATGTACATCCATGTATGTAAATAAAAGGTTCTAAGTTTTCTTTCAAATGAGTATGGTGACCTTGACTATTTCATGCAATATGATGTAAGTGGCATATAGTTGACAGCTTTGAGATGTTGAATTCTTCAACTTGTTTAATAAAATAACTGCCTTAAGGTGTCTTAAGGTGGCAGAACACAGTTCTAGGCACGCTAATGCAAAACAGCGTGCGCACATAAGGATTACAAAAACAAACCGAAACATGGCATCGCTACAGTGATCATTTTATCTGCTCAATGCTCACCCTATCTGTACTATTTTTCTTCATAATTGAACAGTGTATTTATTTAACGATTTTAGTCTTTTAATAGAAAGGCATGTTAGATAACGTAATGATGCAAAGAACCCAGCAATTCTCAGATTTTTCTCTGTTATCAAAAGAACCCGGTTAAATGAAGCACATGTGTAGTAAGTAAAAAATTGCGATTGAAAGGGGAACACATGTAGCTTTCTCCGAAATACACCTATTTCTCGAGAACTACTCATTATAATTTCACAATATTTGGCACAACAGTAGTTTGGGAAATAAGTAACTAAATTAGAATTGTGAAGTTTAACAGATGAAATTCTAGATATTCCAGTTACCCTTCGACAAGGGATAAAATTGACTTTCTTTCTGTTAAACTATTATTAACAAAAATAGTCTTAACATGTATGTGTGCATTGTTACAAGTTTGTTGCATGCAAATGATAAAGAAAATCTATTGACTAGAGTTTCTGCAAATAAACAAAACCGATTTTTAAGGCCTGTTTATATTTATTTATGGTACCATGGCAATGACACATACGTCTGCTTAACTATCAAAAACCGAACTTCGTGTTGTTAACTTGGATGATGTCGTTTTTGGCGACCAAAAGATTAAAGGTTTTAGAAAAAGAGGTGACTGAAACATGTATTCACCATTGTAGATTTGAAGTGTGTATGATTTCTGCAAAGCTGCATGTATTTTGACCTGCTAGCCCTCGAAAACAAGTAACTAAAGCCTGAGTCATCAGGAAACAATGTTTTGTAGCTCCGCGATGGCAAATGGCCGTGAGTTGTGGTGAGAAAACAAATCTTCCGTGAAACTCACCAAATTGCCATGGTGACCCTCAGATCTGTGGTCAGAAAATAAATTTTCCAATATTACATAGCCCAGCAAATTTGTTTTCGCCATAACTGATTGTCAGAAAACAAACTTTCCGTGTTGTGTAACTCACCAAAAGGTCTTGTTTTGTGTTCAGAATGGTTAATTCACCTTTTTTGTTTGTGAAAACAAGATGTAAATTCAAGCAATATAACCAAAAACAAACACGAAATTTAAAAACATTAGGCGATGCGCTGTCTTGCAGGGTCGCTGGTCAAAACTTTATTTTCTTAAGAAATATTTGTTACAAGTGTTGGCGATCTAAAATTGAATTCTAAGTGTCGCCAACAGTTCGAATACCTTTCCTGGAAAATGTTTTGTCCAGTGCAAGTTAATACTTAATCCCTTTTACCGCAGGCTTCAACTTCACATGTAGATCTCTACATGTATCTGTCATTCGATCAAACTTAGTTTTTTATGAAAATGCCACCAAACATGCCAAGTACACGTGTGAATGCACTGCTCTAATCTTTGATTACTACTAGTTTAATATTAATTTTATTTATAGAACTGAAAACTTGTGAAAACTCCTAACTGGTTGGAGGCAGACCAGTTGGATATTTAAAAGATGCGAGAGGAGTGACTTTGGGACAACCCAACACAAATTATCTATCTAGTGGAGGATTTGACAGAACCCAGGATCTCCAGATTACAAATCCAGAGCCCTAACCACTAGGCATGACTAGGCCATGCTACCTCCACAATCCAACATATTAATACCGAGAGGACCATTAAGTTTGAGAAAGGTTTTCGTACTTAACCCATTCCTTTTTGATGGAATCACCCTAAGCCAAATTTCAGGAGTGCTGCAGTCTTGAATTTTTTTACATTGCTATCTTGCAGTCTTGATTTCTATCGCAAGGCTAAGATAGTCTTGTTTTTGGAAAAAAATATGTATTCAGCTTAAGCGTACTTTAGTGTCGCTATCTCGTTAGTCTCAAATTTATCCTGCCTCCGAAGCCTCAAAATCATCGAGATTGCACATTTGAAAATGAAACTTAACTCAACTCCGGTCTCTCGAAAAGGTTTGCGAAAACACCGTTTCACGTGCACGTGATTGCATAGGGTCTGTATGCTTCTTAAATTGTGCACGCATTTTCAGCTGCAAAGGGACCCATGGCCAACCTACACGAAGAGGAAAAATCTCCAAACATTGCAGCAAATTCTGGAATGGATCTCTTTGAAAGTGCACGTAGGTAAAACGTAGTGGTTGTTGTCAAATGTAGGCTTTCATTAAGCTTTTTACTAATTACTTAAAGCTTAAGCTTATTACTTATTTAGTAACCTCTGAACTTTGTAGCTTCATGCGTGTGTACGAAGTTAGGGACGGAAGGCCGAGACAACCAACCGCAATTTGTGTAAAATCAAACTTACAATATTGAAGATACCCAAGAACTTTCCATTTGTTTTGAGTAGTCGTACCAACAGCTAAACGTTGCAATTCTAGGCTCTCTGAGAGCAGATTTTCTTCGTCATTTTCGCGTTCCTCTACATCCTCGTCCTCCATGTTTTGACGGTGTGCAGGGTGTTTTGGGAAATATCGCGCTCGGAAAAAACAACAAAGTATTCCCTTCTGGGGAAGGCACAGGATTCAAGCCGACCTCAGTGTCTTTCTAAGTTTTTAAAGCGAGTAAATCCACTACCTTTCGGAATTTTTGGAAGAGCTAGACTTTCGTGCAAAGAAACCCCGTAAGAATAGAAAGTGACTAAGCAGCAGTTAATTGCCAATAACCTATGATGTATTTTCATTAAAGTTTAAAGTTAAGAACAACTTATGCTCACAGTATATAATCGATCTTTTTAAAGACAAAGTAACTTTAATTTGAGAAATCCAGACTTTGTGATCCCATGATTCAAGACAGTGACTTATGGAAAACATTCAGTGTCGTATTTGGGTCCAAAACTATGGGCCAGACTTCCCAATCATATTAAATCATTAAGTTTCAATAAAGAATTTTAAAAAATACCTTAGGAAAAGGAATTTAATATATGAAATTTAAACATTTTAATTGATGCGAGCAGTGGATGCAAATGTCATATGTGTTCAACTTGACAATTGTCATCATTCTTAGTTAGCTTTATTCGTAACTTTAATCTCTTTTGTATTTTTATTTTGATAGATAGGCTTTTATCTTGTAAATAATTATAATGTTTAAAAATTTAATTCTGATGATTGTAACTCTTTTTAGGTGTTTCAAATTAGCAGCAATACTAAATCTCATTGACACGTGAATAAAGTTATTATTAGATCATCGTAATCTTCTGAGTATTTGATTAACATATAGGATGAGTCTAAGCCAATGTATGTCAACATTAAAATGAACCACAAATACAACAGCCCACAAACGAGCACGTTTTGTTGACAAAATACATTCAGGTCATGTGAAGAAGCCCTGAGTGCCCCTTAAAGCTAATCAGGGGGTGGACAATAGCTTTTACAATTTTTTGGTCAAAAAATTCCTCTAGAGCAGTAGATATAGCTAGCAACCTTTGTGGCATTTCAGGTGTAAAAGTATGGGATTCCCAAACCTCATACCACTGAAATAGTGGGTAAAATCACGCAAGGGGTCAAAGGACAAATTGTTAGATGTTTGAGTGTGCACTAACGACGAGGAATCAACAAATTGAAAAAAAAAAATCAAACACAGGACTGGGTTAGTAGACAGCACTTGCTCGATTTTATCCATGGCTCCCCAAGCTAGCTTGCACGATATTTTTTTCAGCAGGTTTTGCTCTACAGGATTTTTTTGGGGGAAAGTTACCCCCCCCCCCTCCCCCCTCAAAAAATAATAGCTCGTACCTAAGCACATAAGACAGGCTCTGCGCATGGGCAATAATCCGTCAGGGTCCGTCAGGGTCCGTCACGATGTGAACCATGAGCTCGAGATATCCCATGGCATTGGCAAGACAGACCCGTGATGATCACATTGCTGAGTGGACGGCCGGTGACCATGTTAGTGACAAAAACTGAACTTATAAAGCCGCCAAACGCCGGGGGATTTTGTTTAAAAGTTTCATATCGGACGAGATTTCAGGGAAGTGCAGTGTAGGGGTTGACAGTCGCGTGTACAGCATTGCGTTACTGACACAGTATAAACCTAGTAAGATTGCAAAAATCTAATTTAATCTTTTAAAGAATTTACTTTTAATGTTTGCTCTATATAGTAATGACGGTCTAATATTTTCAAATTTGCTTTTTGCTCCTCGAAACGCGATTGCATCATCACCACATTTTTATCATCCTACATATTTGCACACAATTTTATTCATCTTTGACTTAAAAGTCGAAACGTCGTCACAAAATTTTTACCTTTTTAAACTTTTAACCAGATGGTTTTAAAGTTCTCATCAATGTTTTCGCAATGTTTAGTTGTTAAATTATATAGCAAACTTCTTCTTCCATGTAAAAACAAAATAAACAAAAATGAAATCATAGTCTTCGATTTTATCTGTTACGAGCCATCAGCTATATATATTCTACGGTATGAAGTAATCTATTCACATCAAGTCCTATTGCATGTAATTGTTCGTTATTTTTACTGGTGTATATATTAGCGCTATAGTTTCAATTCCAAGAGTTCTTTGATAACATTGTTAATAAATTTAAACCCACAAGCTATATTTGAAATTAACAGTCGGACTCTTTCCAAGAGGAAGTTGTCCTTCAGTCAGGCAGTGTTTCAACTCAGTGAAATTTCACTACATAATGTGTACCAGCATTTGGAAACAGTACAAGTACGTTTTATCCGGGAGTTCCACATCCAACTGGACAATGAACGGTAGACTAGGCAGGTTTTTCATTACCTCAATAGTGCCGATCATTGTATATTCCACGTTAGGCTCCAAGGGACATTTGATGTTGTGGTGTTCGCAAGCATTTGGATAAGGTACTTTCATTTCTATCATTCGCCCAAGAATAACGTACAAGTGTACGGTTGCTTCCTTGACCATTACTTTTGGAGTAAATTTGACTGTGGCGGTGACATTGCTTCCTTTCTTGAAAATATAGCGGCCCCTCGCATCTTTTTGAAAAGGCTCTATATCGACTGACGAAATATCGCTCTGGGACGCTTTTTTGCACTCTCTGTAGTCAATAGGGTTTCGAAGGGCCAAAGTATTGGAAAACGCGAGGATAGAGAGCAGGATGATTGCTGCGTTGTTCACGGCCATTTTTCCTGGGCTTTTCAGTAAAACAAGGCTTGCTTGATCTGCCGGTCAATCCTTAAATGTACTCAGTTTAGGTGTGTGAAGTAGTTATGAGGGACCACATCCCATGACTGTCTTACTGCCTCGTGCAATCTCGTGCAATGCCGAATAAGGCAGGGAGAAATAATATTCCCTACCGCACCATAATCAGCTGAGTTGTGAGTTTAGTTCACTATCCAATGAAACTGAACAATGCGAAATATCTGAATCCTTGCGTCATATTTCATTAATTTTTCTCCCGTTTTTCTCCCGTAAACAAGTATTAGGAAATAGCCCAAAGAAAATATGCGCGTTGATTCGTCGGCTCATGTTCCCACAGCATTTCACGCTCTCCCAAACTTCCCCTCGTGTTTCTATTACACAATCAGATTGTGAGCTCGATAGTGTTTTCTATTTCTTAAATAATATAATTTCAATGAAACTCGTTATTTGAGCAATAAGTCAGAAGTCAGGTCAAGAAATTGTAGAAATCCGGTGAAACACTTTATTTAGTTGACTAATTTAATAACATATAAATCAAATATAAAGACATAATAAATCAAATTAAACCTCGTGACTGATGCTTGTGTTCCACGAGATGTCCTTCCCTCAAATGAACAATCTCGTGACTAACTCGCCCATTCCAGTTTATTGAAATAAATTGCTCGTTTATACTTACAGAGGAAATCTCGTAAATAATTCGGTTTTTGCTTTATGAACTGCATACCGCGTTTACCAGTGACAGCCCTCCTGTATCATTGTCAACGTCCATGGAGTGGGGTGTGTGTGAGTGTGTGTGTTTGTGTGTGGTGGGTGGGGGGGGGGGCGTGGGGGGGTGGGGGGGGGGGGGGGATTTACTCCCTTATATGGGCTATACAGGTATGTGCGGCCCCAAAGGGTTTTTTCTGAAGCAGTTTTGGTCAAAAACAGGGTATCGATTTTGGCCATTTTGGTCTCAAAGGGTATGGTTTTTACACTCTAGTCTTGAATTGGGTGATTTTCTTTTTAGAAGAAGCTTCTTCTTCGTAATTATCGATAAGACGCCCTTCACAATGTTTTTAACACCGTTCTGAACTAGGCAACTAATTCATTATAAGGCAGGTCTGAAACAGGGTATTGATTTAAGGGTCAGGTCTTAAATAGGAAATCGAGTTTTTGGTTAGGTCATAACTAGGGTAGGAAAAATCACATATTTTGGTCTTAAATAGGGTTAGAGTTTTGGGAAGCGGGCCGCACACCCACACCTTATTTTTCTGGGAGTACCTCCCCCGTCGAAGTCAACGGAAGGCGGAAGCGATCGGCTTTACTTGCACAAGTTTGCGTGATTGCAAGAACGAGAGAGTATTGTTCGTCACGGTCTTGATTTCCTTTGTTTAAACCTGATGAATTATTACTGAAACAGAACAGAGTCTTTCAATTACAATTAACACACAGCCGCACTCTGTGCCTGTAAAATACTAATTTTTAACAATCAATTCGATCATGTCGAAGCGCACAATTAGATAGCACTAGACGCAGATGTACGCATTGCGGACGCATTCTTTTTTATATATAATTTCCTCCCGGCCCTCAGAAGGCGCTATTTCCAGTAAATACGGCGGCATGTTAAACTAGGTGCCCCTGACAAATTTTGTAAAATAGCCTGAACAAAGATTCAGTTCAAGTCTTAATGGCTCCTCACTAAACTAAACCAGGAGCCCATCACTAGGAGCGTGCACCTACCCCACATTCCTGCCACAGCGTTTTCACGGACCGATCTAGTTTTAGTTTGAATTTACCGCGAATTCAGACCCGCGCAGGAACCTCAGTGACCAATCACAAGCACGGACTTGCAAATAGCGAGGGAATTAGCGTATTTTATTATTCTATTTTTTATGATGTCGACATGTCCACTTGAGGCCGCCATTTTTTTCCTTACCGCGATGTGCGCTCATGAGGACTGGAACTGACCTATTTTGCCGGAAAAGAAGCCTAAAAATATACCAGTCTGTAAAAATGCCGTGACATAGACTTGGTAGATATGGGTATAGGAGTTGCACGCTCCTAGTGATGGGCTCCTGATTAAACATTAAGTTCCCGTGACTTTGCTTTTAAGTAACAATTCCAGTTATCTAGAATTCAGTTTTAAAGTCTTTCACCCGGGGGGGGGGGGGATACTTGGGTCAATCTTTGTTGGGTACGTGCCGCTGGCCTCTCAGAACCCCTATCCCTCTATGGCCAATTATAGGTCCCATCTTAGTCACTTTTAGGTAAATGTAATTTTCACGACCCCAACTTAGTCACTTTCTGTTTTTGCGTCTACCGTATAAATCCTTTTAACTAAGTCTTTCTAAAATGAATTGACACATTTAATAAACTGAATGAAGAACACTTTACTTTACAACTACACTATAAACATTCTGGTACATTTGCTTTCCGTAAACATTTACAAACATACCGTCATAAATAGTTGAAATGCAAACATTCTTCTTTAACGGTAACATTACACTAGCACTGACATTATAATAGCAGGAGGTGGAGGTGGAATTAATGTTCCTGTCAATGTCACGTTTAAAGCAAACAAGTCCCGAGCAAAGGACATCAAACGCTTATTACAGCAAAAGAAGATCCAAGTTATCTTAACTTCGATGGACGCAGAATAGCAATTTAATACCGTAACACGAATGTGGACTTTGTTCTGGACTATTGTGCAACTGGTTAATGTTTAAGTTGTGATTTCAAGGCCGGAAATGTAATGGGAGCCGTTTGTCAAATATTAAACAACAGCAATAAATACGGTAACATTTTTTTTCGGCGAATCTTTCCGTTTATAAATCACAACTTGCCAGAATTTTCTTACTCTCAAGATCCCGGAAAAGTGTAACCCCATTCTAGTCACTCTATAAAAAATGCTTGAAAAGGCGACCCCATTTTAGTCAGTCCAGTCGTGAAAATGCGACCCCATCCAGCGGCACATCCCCATTAGCCCATTTATAGGAAGTGCCCCCCCGCTCCGGGTCTTTCACGCTGTAGGTAGACCCCATACAGGGAAACGACGAACATGCGCTCCTTGAGCTCGAGCGCGTGCTTTTTGCTCTTTGGTTTTGGGCGTCGCAAACATTTTTCGCGCTCCGATCCGATCTTGCGGCTCGACTTCTGGGCAAGTCACCAATACCATTTGCACAGCGGAATCTCTAAAAAAGAGGAAAACTTGACTAAATCCCGTCCCCAAAGTCTGCGCAAAAATCAAAAACCGGAAAAAGAATGCCTGGTTCCGGTCTGAGTGTGCGCATGCGTTTAAGTCCGATATGCGCACGTACAGATCGCTGTGCCGGTGACCTCTGGGAAGGAGACTGATCCAACTTGATTTCTTCTCGATTTCCTTGTCAAGTCTCCGTGTTCAAAAATTCGAAAGACTGAAGAAAACAAATTAAATCGCCATATTTTGTCGTACCCGAGAAAATCAAAACTTATACTTATATTGAGAGAAAACGAAATTGTTAGGAACGGCTTGCATCTGTATAATTTCATTTTGACACGTTGGCTCTGAATTGAGCACATTTTTTACCACACCTATAAAAAAAACATATTCGACATGAACTATGACCTCGCCAGCGTCCCATGACTGAGGTATGATAGTGGCATGATCGATACGATCAATCTCATTATGCAATATGTAAAGTGAAAACAAAATTACCATACTGGCACCCACCAAGCGAAGGATTTCGATCAATTCTTTGAAATCTGATGGGATTTTAAGCAAATGGACTAAATATAAACGGACGGTTATTCCACGAGGAACAAGATAAAATTCTGACTTGGACTTATGAGTCTAAATGATCACGTAAGGCACAGCACAAGATCACTAAAAATTGCAAAAGGATTTTTTATTTTCCAAATAAATTGATATCTTTAAATTTTACGGTATATTATAGGTGATTTCAAACTTGCTTTTCTCTACGAAAAACTCCACTCAACAATTAACGTCGAAACGAACGGTCTCCGATATTTTATTTACTGTGGCAGCAGTCCGCTACATATGAATTTGTGCAAATGCTACATACCTAAGTCGTTCCATACTGCTAGTAAATGTCGTATCGGCACTGCTTCGATGAAATCTTCTACCAAAGCTATAAGCTATATTCAAAATCAACAGTCAGTTTCATTCCATCTACGAATTTGAATTACAACAACTTTTTTCTCCTCACGTTTCTTCATCCATGATAGCGTTCGAAACTAAAATTTCAAATCTCGTGAGCTTCCATCGCTCGACTCCAACACCTCAATCAGCAATTCTCATTGGAAATTTGAAACAGAACAAATACCCATCGTCCGGGAGTTTAAAATCCATCTGTGCAACGAGCTGAATCGAAGGGTATGCTGGCTTTATAGCGAGGGTAATCTCTAAGCTGTATGTTACCCCAGATTTCAGCGGACACTCGAGGCCGTGTTCTTTGCAGGCATCTGGTTGCTCTAGTGGGAAAGGGGTCTTGATTCCTTCAATGAACCCATACACCTGCAAGGTTCCATCGGTGACCATTTCTTCTGGAGAAAACTTGATCGTGGCAGTCACATTGGTTCCTTTGTGAAAGACGCACGGTTGACTCGGACATGGAGTCAAGTCGACCGAGATAAGTTTTCCCTCTAACGCTGTTACGTCAGAACAGTTAGCGAATTTGATAATGGTTCCGGCTGCTAAGGGGCTGCAAAGCACCAAGAGACAGCACACAATGACGGCTACTTTGTCTGCGACCATTTTCCGCGTTTCTTTCCAGCAATAGCTTGTTCGCTCAGATCAAACTGACGAGCACATGAACGGTTTGCGTGACATCGCGTGCCATATAAAATGTCACGTCTAGTACCCAGAGCCGTCTGTCCCCCATATGGCCGGTAAGGCCTTGGCGCGAGGAAATTCCTTTTTCAATCTGCGCATTCTCGTCTCCATAGCCCTTTTCGCTTCCCTTAGCCGGCGGGGTCTTGGTACGAGGAACGATGGCTCCGCCAGCTATAGAAGCGAAAAGGGCTATGGAGATGAGAATGTAATCGACGTTGCTCTTAGCGCCTCGGACGTGACTAAAAATACTGTCTGACTTTCAACACTCAAAATACTAGTACAGATCTACGGTGGCCCACAACTGTCACGGCAAAACAAAAAGTCACGGCACTACAAACTTAACTCACGGCAAGATAATGTTATCTGACGGCAAAACAAAATCAACTCACGGCAGTACACCATTAATTTACGGCAAAACGAAGTTAACTCACGGCAGAACACCCCTAATTCACGGCAAAACAAAGTTAACTCACGGCAAAACAAAGAAAACGAGTTGGTCAGCGGTTGTTATTTGCTTTTCAAATGGTATGTTGTGTAACAGTAACACACTGCTCGCTTGGAAACCGCCATTTTTAGTGCAGTGTTCCTTATCTTGAGCTCATGATGTTTAGACTTTCTAAAAGTCCTTTCCAATGATATTTCCATTGTTAGTTTCGCCGTTGGAAAGAACTTTTCCCACTTGCAACGCACCAAATTTTACCGGTGGATTTTTCCACCGGTGACGTAAATACACATTAACCAATGAACAAACAAGTACTGACTATACGT